ATCATGCATTTAGTTTTCTTTAAATTCATCTTAAGTCCGTACTCATGACAGCGTTCATTAAGGCGTTGCATTATGTTCTGTAAATCATTGTTGTTAAGTAAATTGTTGTTGTTAAAACGTAAGTTATTCAAAACTTCTCCATTGATATATATACCTTCTATTGAGTCTGAGAGCGCTTCTTGAAATACCGCTTCACTGTAGACATTGAAAAGTAGTGGAGACAGCACGCAACCCTGGCGGACTCCTCTCTGTATTTTGATATTTTCGGTGTACTGGCTGTCAACTCTTACCTTGGCAGTTTGATTCCAATATAAATTAGATATAATTTTCAGATCACGACTGTCAATATTTTTGCTTTTTAATATATCTACAAGCTTTTAAATATATCTACAAACTAAAGGATCATGCGGTAGAAATTCCTTTCTCATTAATCAAATAAATCCTTGCAGGAAAATACTACTCTTATAAAGTTCACCAACAGCCATAGTATCGCTTGATAAAATCAGATAATGTTACATGTCAGAGATACCCTAGGGAAGAGAGGAAGAAATATTTCTTTTGATAGGATTTAATAAAAGTTGTCCTAGTAGAATGACGTAAAAATCGAAACCCAGAATTTCACTCATCTACCATACAATGGAACTTGTTTTATTTTTGTTTAATATTTTAGTATTTGTAACGTTATAAACGCCACATCTCTATTAATTTATATTTAAATAATTATTTCATTTTAATTTCTTTATTAATTTACTAATTTGTTTACCTTCAGTTTAATTTTTACTATTTTTTATTTAAAAAGTAGTTGGCGCCCTCTCTTTCTTCCTCTGTTTTCCTTTTTTTCCTCTGTCTTTATTTACTATCTCTTTCTGTCCCGTAGAATAAATATTCGTCCTCTCTCTTTCTGTCCGGCAGACTATTCTGTTCCGTGTTGACAGACAAGATAGTTTCATGATATCTATAGCAACATCCTATGACATCTGTGCTAACCTCATGCAGTCCCACTACTTTCTGTCAGTTAAATTTTCTAATGTAATGGGAATATAATGTTTTGCTTGCTTTTGAAATTTATAAAAGAAGGCAAAAATTATTATTAGACTCATTTTATCTTCTTCTTCATGTACCATGTCCTTTCAGAACGTTGGTTACCATCATAGCTATTTTAATTTTATTCACTGCCACCCTAAATAGCATGCTTGTATCTACAACATACCAATCTCGCAAGTTCTTCAACCATGAGGTTCTTCTTCGTTCTGGACTGCGTTTGCCTGCTACTTTTCCTTGCATGATATTTTGTAGCAATCTATATTTGGGACCTCTCATTATATGTCCGAAATATTCCAGCTTTCTCTGCTTGATGCTTTTTATGATCTCAGTAGTCTTGCTGAGACGCTCAAGTATTGTGGAGTTACGAATCTTCTCCACCCAAGAAACTTTTAAAATTCTTCTATAGCTCCATATTTCGAAAGCCTCAAGGCGATTTAGATCGATTTTATTCACAGTCCAGGACTCGACAGCATAAAGTAAGACCGAGAACACGTAGCAGCGAAGTAGGCGGATCCTTAATGCCAATTTTAGGTCTCTGTTACATAACACCTTGGACATCCTTCTAAAAGCAGCTCTAGCCTGCTCTATTCTGGATCTAATAGGTAGATAACTCATTTTATGGTCTACAAATTCTCTTGGGGTAAGTACTTTCATTGTGATATTTATTCTATAATTCTGACAGCATTTCCAATACTTGTAACCTTACTTTCTTTCGAAAGCCCATTTTTTTATATATATTAGGAATCTTTAACAGAATTTAACTAAGTAGTAACAATCATTTTATTTTATCATTGCCATACGCTATTTGTTCAATAGTAATTTTGTAAGATGGCAAGGAAGTTAAACATTTCTTCTTGATGTGTCTCTAATGTAAGCTGTTCCTTTATTTCAGTTTATTGAGAATATTAATAATTTTATTGGACATATTAACAACTTTATTGGACTGAATCAAGAGATACAATCTCAGATACATTTCAAATACATCCCAGATACCTACGGTATCAACAGGATTGAGCTCTGGTGGGACTCTTTCTGTGTTATCGAGACTTACGTGACTTGGTATGCTGGCTATCTCCCAAAAATTTTCGTACATATCTGTTGTTTTATGTTCTCTAGGAGGTTTTTTGGAATAACCCCAGTAGTAGATAAAATAATAGGCACTGTCTGGGTTCTTTCCATTTTCCAAGGTCTCCTTATTTGTGTTTCTAGATCTCTGTACTTTCCGATCGTTTCGTTGGATTTAACACGCAGATTGTTATTGTTAGACATCGCCACATCAATTAGTGTTGTTTGCTTAGTAAGTTTATTAACTAGTATAAGATCCGGTGTATTATGTGCCACAGGTTGGTCTGTAAGCACAGTGCGGTCCTAGTATAGCTTGTAGTTGACGTTTTTAAGCATTCTGTCAGGGACGTATTGATAATAAGGAAGATAGCCGGTTTAAAGAAGTCCCAGTTTTAAAAGCTAGTTCTTGGTGGATCATCTTTCCGACTCAGTTATGGCGTTCTTTATAATCAGTACCGACAGTCACCTGGCAGCCCCCGGTAAGATGTTGGATGGTTTCTTGGGCTTGGTATCCATAGCAACCAATAGTTCGATGCTGTATTGTCAACATATTCTTGACTAATATTATTAAGATGTCGCCCATGTAGAGGTTTACTTATCCAGGTGCGCATTTTTCTTGCTTAGTTAGGTGGTTTATGCGCACTTCTTTTTCCCCTTAGTTCAAGCGGCGTTGTATCATCTACTGAGTAAATTGCTCGGTGTAGCCTCATCCTACGCCTAAAAATAGGTTCTTAAATTAGCAACATGTTTATCCAGTTGCTCACCTATATCCATAAGCCCTCTTCCTCCTTTATACCGCGGTATTATTGTTTTCTCTACTGCACTGCGAGGATGGATGGTGTTTTGGCGCCCTTATGAGAAGTGTTTTTACTTTTCGCTAAATACTTTATATATAAATTTTTAACCACTTTATAATACCATATGAGTACCTAAGCGTGGAACAGGCGTAGGTATTTAACGCCTTAAACATATTTTTAATATAAACGTACGACTGATTTAGCTGTCTTACTCTTCGCACCCACTTAGAAGTTAGTTCGGTTTTCATTTGGCTGAACCCTCTGACTATATTTAAAATACGGCACTTGTCCAGTCCAAAGTGCATATTGATATCAATTGAAATATTTTCACAGTTCTTAGCATCTGGTCCAAGTGATTTTATGTGGAAGCCATTAATTTTAAATCATCCATATACAACAGATGATTAAGCTTCGCCACAAAAGTATTGTTAGTTTTAATGCTAAAAAACTGAGTCAGTGGGGTTCAGTAGCTGAGATAGTGGGTTCATCGCTAGGCAGAACCAAAGTGGACTCAACGAGTCCCCCTGGAAAAGGCCTCTGTTAATTGGAATTTCTTTTCACCAGGTATTTGAAAGTGAATTTTAGTCTTCCACATCGTCAATATATGCTTTAAAAAGGTTTTTATATTACCATCGATTTTATATACCTATATATTAATATTATTAAAGTGCTCAAACAATGTTGTTAACAAATTGTTTTATAAAACCATTAATATATCATACTAAAAGTTTTTGATCGAGGAATGATTAATCATGTTTGTATTACTTTTAATAGCAATGATTAGTTTATTACATTCCTAATCGATATAGGTCAATTATCAGGAACCAATTAAGGTCATATACCGAGGTTCACTCTACAAGTATTCAGTTTGTAGTTACATACAAACAGCAGATGCAGCTAAACACAAGATCAAATTTCATCTCAGATATTGGGTTGTATATTGCAAATATTTTAGTTTTTCAATAAACAAAACAAAATAATTTTCATAATACATGCCTCAACTTGTGATGATGCTTTACACCATCGACAACCTAACTCTATGACTAACTTTATCTACTGCTATTCGAAAAAAATGAGCACGCTTTATACAATTGGCGAACGTTTTTCAGCTACAATTTTTGTTGTAGACGAGGTGTAAATTCTGTTAATAATTATAATAGTTTATATTTTTGATTTCTTATTATACTAGCATTTGATTATCATTCGTTTTCATATGAGTCCAGGGAATTTTTAACATTCATCTATAAATTCACATTTTTTTTTTGAAAACTTGCAGTTTGCCAAGCAAAATATTGTTTTTTTTTTCAAAAGAGTTGTAAAAAGTTTTAGCTATATATATATCATATACTTTTAGCAAATATGCTTTATGATTCGAATGGGCCTCTTGTAGATGTCCATTTTATTCACTAGACAACGGACTCACAGTGTTCTCTAGCCTATAATGAGTGTGTGTATAACATGTAGCGGTATCCGGTAATAAACATTTCTGGAACCTGATTCACATCTACCCTCCTTTTTAATTTGAAATTGATAATGGAGACACTAATATAATATTTTTCTGGTGGAAAACTGATCTACACTGTGGATAAAAAAATATGAATTTAACCATATTTTCACTTTCTAATATATTTCCAATTAATTATAGCATATAACACAACGACTTTTTAAAATTTTCTGTTTCTTTTTTAATTTTATTGCATAGTGTACTAATAAGAGTTTTTCCTGATGCAATTTTATCGGAGATGTTATCTTTTTGACGACCAGTTCAAAACTGACCTAGGAAAACGACACTTGAAGCCAACGTTTATTTAGTGAAACATCATATATTTTTACAAGAATATGTATTTATTAACGGTCAGAGAAGTCTAATTAACGGAAGAAGAAGAGCCTAATTAATAGTTTTATGTAAGTGACAATAATGGTTGTATTCACAGTGATAAAATGAGTATGCTACTGTATCAATGAAAATGCATCATTATCAAATACTTATATCGTTCTTAGCGTGCAATACATATATGAAACGAAAAGATGACACATATCAAAACATGTTAGTAGTAGCCCTGCTATTAATTTTTTTTTTAATTAGGAACTTACCTGTTAAGCCTAAACTTGTTGTACTCTTGGAATGTGAAGCCATTTTTGTCAAGTTCGTAGTACTTTGACTATGCATCTTGGACAGTTTCTCAATATCCGCGCTTCCCACGAAAGCCGATTTTGGCCTTCGTGGCAACGACGTGTTGCAGTTGTCACTTAAAACTGATGCTTCATGGTATCCTGAACTATCTGAACTATTTCTGGAATGACAGATGACTAAACCTGTTTCGCTTTTTTTCGACTGCAACTCACTAACTTCTGAAACGGTGCTCGCGGGTTTTTCTTCGGAATTTCTACGAGATTCTGAAAAAGCAATATTTATTTTTAAATTTTATTTATTTTACTCATATATTTTGGATCAGAACTAGTTTAATTTAGATCAACTGAAAGATTTGCCGATCAACAAACCGAGGAAAAACAGGGGATACTTGATAGCAGAAGGAATTAACGAAAGAGCAGAAAAATGTACGTATACATTAGAATTAGAATCTGTTTAGCTGTAGAATCGGTTTTTTATCTCAAATCTCTGTTGTATTTTACAACACGAAGCAAAGCAGTGGAATTAATGAATCCAAAAAAATAATAAATACTGAATTTTAAGATGCATTTACTTTGCATTCTACTTAAAATATCCAGAAATATATAGCTCACAAATAAAGAACTTTTAAAGCAAAGATATAAGAATTATCCAAAGCAATAAAGAGACAAAACAAGGCTTTGTTTTTGAAGAAAATTGACCTTTCTCGTATCTTTTTAAAATACAGACTATTAGAATAAGTTTATTTATATTTGACTAGATTTTTAAAAATTCTCAATTCTCCCTTATAAGGGTGCCCCAAAATATAAACATAAAATGATATTTTTTTTACCCACCTTCTCTGCTGTATAGGTACTATATACTTATGTTGTAGAGCTTTTATGTCTGATTATAAATATAACCTATATATCTAATATAACCTGTATGGTTATAAAGCTACAAAATAATCGACTCAACATTATTTCGCGAAAGTACGTCTCCTGTTTCAATCTAAAAATATGTAGTGTACAATTATTAACCTTATTATCGAGTTTTAAGTGTTGTTTTTAGAGAGGAGGTCAGAATCGTACGAACCGACTTGTTTCGGTTAACATCATATGTATCAATTTCCATAGCAATCAACTAATACATCGGCCACTTCTACGAAGTTCGCAAGTGCATTACAAATGCATATCCATCAAAATCATATTCGTCAAAGCTGCTCAAACAGTAGCATTATTGAGAGAAGGCCTAAGCCAGAGGGCCGTTGGAAATCGACTAAATTTAAGCCAATCAGTTGTGTTACGAATGTATCCTCGGTACCAAGATACTGGTGATTATGACCGGCGCGGCGACAATGAGGAGGCCGTAAACGAATAAAAATGTAGAAAGACGTATGAGAAATGGACATTTGACTGGGAGCAATCACAAAGAAGAGCTTAGACAGATCTAAGGTATGGTTATCAGCGTTTGGGTAGTCAGAAGGAGACTGAAGGCGGCCAACCTGACATCAAAAAGGACAGCTACTTATCCCAAGTATTATTCTCTGACGAAAGTAGATTCTACCTATACGGCAACAACAAGAGGCGTCTATAAAAGGTCAGGAGAGCAATTTGCTCAATGATGTATGCAAAAAACCGTATCACATGGAGGCGATTCTTCTATATTTTGGACAGGCATTTCCATGGATGGGAAAATCGAGTTGGTTTTCGTACCTGGTGGAGGACGTGAGAGAGGTTTAACCGCGGATCGTTACATCAGGAACATTTTGGACGAACATGTGGTTCCATACGCGGGATTTATTGGTGATACCTTTATCTTAATGATAATAACCGATGCCATACCGCACGAGTCACCACCATCCATCTGACTGAGATGGGTATACCTACAAAAAATTGGCCTGCGTTAAGCCCTGACTTAAATCCAATAGTGGATGTTTGGGATGAGCTTAAACAAAGGGTCCGGAACAGAAATCATGCACCAGGGAGCATAATGGGATTAAGAGCTACGCTTAATGATGAATGGGAAGCAATGTCTCAGAATTTGTTAGAAAAGTCATCTGATCCATGCGAAATTTATAGGATTGTATAATTAAGAATAGACTTGGTAATATCAAATATTAAAAAATAAAGAAATTCATTTTGAAATTGATGATTTTTCTGTTTCTAACGTCTTTATTGCGTTCGTTGCAACGATAGATATTTAAGAAACTCTGTTCGTACTGAGTCCTTCAAATAATGCAATAGCAGTTTTGTAAGTTCAATAATAAAGTTATTTTTTGCACATTCCATATTTTTATTGTAATATTTCTTACATTGAAACAGGAGGTGTAATCTCAAATCTCGCTTTTGAATAAATTATTTTGCACTCAAGTGTATTTACAAACGTTAACTACTATTAGTTGACAGAAGTTTATTTGACATAACGCCAAAAAAGGAAAAAAAAAAACATTAAATTTTTATTACTATTCATTGCAATCAATTTCCATATAAACAACTTTCAGTAAAATCTCTGGGATTTGTTAGTTAACTATTATAGTTATATAACTAGGTATAATACCACTACCCAGATGGTTATCGATTGATTGCTCATTCTCGTCTTGTTTGTGACAAAACAAGTGCGAAATATATGTTATAACTAATTAGAATAAAAAACAAGCTCGACGCGAATACCAGTGCATTAATCGAACTGCAAAACTCTTAAGTATTTTAAAATTTTAATACATTTAAAAGAATTTATGGGGCGGTATTAAATCAAAATAGTTTTAAGCGAAAAAAAAGGACAATAAGATAAAATAAAAAGGAAAAAAACCATGAAACATAGATTTCCAAAAGAACCTTAATTATAATGTGGAATTAAATAGCTAATTATAATGTGGAAAAACATATTAGAAAGGCCAAAGAATATGAAATAAAAATATATTTCCACATAAACTACCACAAGTTTAACATTTGTTTGAATTGAGTAAAGAAACAGGATTTTTGTAGAACTAATATTTAGATATTTTGAGTGCAACAAGATGATAAAATATCGTAAAGTTACGCATTATTTGAATAAAAATATTCTATTTTAAAGTGAAAAATAGAGGGCAATTAAATGGGCGGCTACTAATCCGGTTGAAAAAAATAATTGCTAATTTTCTATGAATGCATTTAAAAGATCAATTGAACGAAAAGACTAATTTACCACTTAAAAGAATAAGGGAGAAATCAGTAGAGGAAATTAATAAATTAAATAATAAAATAGGAGTATCACTGAGGATCCTTGATAAGTAAGTAAGAATATATATTATTGAAAGTGTGGTGGCAAATTGTATGGTGTGAAAAATTAAATATAGTGGTGGCCATGTTGAACGGTTCAGTTTACTGTGTTGGATTAGAATAAGTATATAGGTGTAGTATTTCAATACCTAATAATAATTATTATAAACAAAATTGCTAAAATAAGTTTTATTTCTTACATTATATCGTTTCTTTCAAATTAATAATGCTAATGATCAATATGACTAACTTAATGCCAAAAAAACACCTTGGTACCAGAAGGCTTAATCTAGTTTTCAGTATTATTCTCTATCATATTTAAGATACATATATCACACCGATTGTATTTATAATCAGACAAAATAGCTCTAATATAAGTATGTAATATACATGGTAGGATGTTAACACTCTACAACTTTTATAAACATTTTTTTTCTAACATCTGTAAACATAGGAGAAAGGCCCATTTATAATCAGTAAACCTTTATTAACCACATAATTTCGGAGACAAAAGTACATACTTATTAAACTATTGATAGAATTCAAAATCGAACCAGGTGCCAAAAAGTGTTCAGGATAACAAATAAAAAAAGTGGATTCAAAGAAAATAAGACTCATTGAATTTCAAAGAGTTGAAAAATCAAATAAAAAAATGAAACTAATATTCATAAAAAAATCTTAATAATAATAAATAGGCATTTTACCAAACAATGTAAATAATAGAAACTTATGAGATCAAACAATAAAAACGTGCCTGCAAAATCAGCAACAAGTGCAACAGATTGATATACATATAAATAAATTATTTTTAGGGCATAATCAGTACCTACTATATAAAGAGTTAAATCTTGTACTGCATGAAACAGACGACAATGTCATTCTTCAGCAATGACAATTGTTCAGCAAAGAAAACATACCAGAAACGTAACATTTATGGCTAGGAAGAAATTAACTGAAAACAACTTCAGTAATACAGTAATGAATGATTGGACCAAATAGAATACACTACAGTAAAAATGGAAAAATGCAAGGACAATAAATGTAAAATCAGGAAGAAAACGTTGTATCTATTTGTAATCGAAAATTAAAGTAACAATACTTTAAATTAGCTATTAATAAAATTTATGCTATAGTCGGTTCACTCACATTGGGTATATTCTGATAGAATCATTTTGGGAAGTCTACAAAAAAAATCTTAACACAATTAATAGCTGAAATAAACTTGCCTAATGTTGCCTAATTCTTTAATTGAAAAAAAAAGAATAACTATGAATAACGGGAGTATATATTCATTAATTTCAACTAAAAACATTCTATTTGTAAATACTAATATATTAAAATGACTTAAAAAAAAATAAACATTAAAACCGTTGTTTTAATTGATAGTTTTATTTTGTTGATAAACTGCATGTAAATAATTGTTTACTTTAAGTTACAATTATTATTAGCAATGAACACGTGTGCTTGGTTGTATAGTAACTTCCAGCTAGTTCCAGTCGAAGTCATAATTTGCCCAACATAGCAAAAAATTAATTAACAAATTTACTAGGCCATTGGGACTTAGATCATTGAACCGAGTATAACACTATAAAGGTGAACTTAAAACAACCACTATTTTTAATTAACACTGCATTAATTTGTCACGTTACGTTTTGGTATATATTAGCTTTATCACAAGGATAATGTCAAACTAAAATATTTTATATCGCTAACAGTTAGCTGTAACTCTGTTTAAGTAAAATGATCTAATAAACGTGGAAATTTAAAGATCCATTAAGTAATTCAAAGAAGAATTACTAACAACCGTGGTTGTTTTAAAATATTTATGTAATTAATTAATATTCCGCATTGTTATAAAATATTTAAAATTGTTAGTACAAAAACTACCAAAATTATTATTTTTAAAATTAAGAACAACAATTATGTATTAATATGAAGCCACCCACTACAAAGCGCTGAAGTTTTCTGACAATTTATATATATATAAATATATATATATATATATATATATATATATATATATATAT